GACTTTAACTGCCGTACCTTTTTAATTTTTTATTGCTATTATCAATGAGTTTTTATTAAATTTCATAATAGAATAGAAAATGTTTAAATGTATGTGATTTATAGAGAATAAAAGCAATTTCATAGTTTATGATTTAAGACAATGGGAAGTTCACTATGCAAAATCGTAGAGGACCAAAAAAAAAAAATTGTTTTTCTGACATTGATAGGTTATTTTTTTTAACATTGAAATATTACACTCAATTTGAGTATTTGAGAGGGGAATGTCATAATTTCAAAAATTATCTCATTTACAATTTACTCATTCTACTGATAAATCCCAAAGTATAACAGTTCAAATTTCGAAATGTAATTGTGAATTATTAGTAAAATCTAAATTTAACAATAAAATTTTAAAAATATTTAATTTTAATTTATAATTTGTTTTAATTTCAAATTTATATTTGATATTGTATGACAGTGCAGCTCACGCGACAATGATATGAGAGAGAAATGTATTGATAACTGTACTGGAACTAATTTTATACTGTAAATTCAATAACATAAGTGTTCTTCAAATACAATTTACAAGAGAATGAGATTCTAATATTCTCCCATAATATTTTAATTTCAATTTCAACTCTATTATGTTCCGGAAAATTTTATTTAATTTTATTAAAAAAATTTCGTATTCCACACTCTCTTTAATATAGATCACAAAACATTATTATTTTTCACACATAATTTAAAATAAAATAAAGAGATATTGAATTTTATAAGTTAGAGAATAATTTCCTAAAACTGAATTTAGTGAGTGATGACAACCACTCATCACAGTTTTAAAAAGTAGAGATTTATGTTTAAGCTCAATAATTTTCTCTAATAATGAAATTAAAATCGCCTATGCGGTTTTGGGTGTGAATATTGTGTTTTCTTTTAAACTACATTTCAGTAGCTGTAAAATAAAAATATTCAAAATGCTACTGTTTAAAAAAAAAATATTTTCATTAACATTTTTCATATTAAATTTTTCATTAACAAAATATAAAGCGTGGGAATTAAACACAATAAAAAAATAAAATAACCACCAAAGTTAATACTGTGTTTAAGATTTCAAATTTAATTTGATGAACTTTGAACAAATTTTTGCTTTTTTATCTTAACTTTTAAGTATAATTTTTTTATGGAATTCGAGAATATTCCGAATATAATTAAAACATTTTATAGAAGTATCAATGAAAAATCTTAAAATAGCATAAAAGAAACCCATATAGTAAAACCTTAATATTAATTAAGATATTTAATAATTGTTTTCATATATTTTGTTATACTTAGAACAAAATTTTTCAGTTCATTAACAATCAAAATGTCAAATCACAAAAGATATAAATTTCCATTTTTATATTATATAAACATAATACATACTCGTATATACAAGGTGTTTTGGATAAAGTCGCAAATAATTTCAGTCATGATTCTTTAATTCCCAGTTAAAAAATGTATGGGGAGAGTGCGGGTAACACATGTTACTGGCAATACTATGAAAGACTGAAAAAAATATTGTCTGGAAGACTTTTACTACTAATACTAATAATAACAATAGTAAGTAATAATAACAAAAATTTTCCGAGAAATTTCGTTCTTTTAAAAAAAATATTCGAAATTCTCATTTTAGGGAGCTTTTTCTCGATACTAAAGGTCTGATATAATTGATTATAAGGACAAAAATAAAGATTTACCAATTATCTTTAAAACATGTGGCTAACGGTTATTCTATATTATACGGCTTCTAAGTTATTAGCATTTATTTATATGAAGAAAAAATCTGGGACAGATTTTTTTCAACAGACTGTAGCTCGAAAACGAGTATATTTGTACACCTCCATGCAAACGATTTTTTGCTGGATATTGATCAAAGAATCATCTCCGAAATTATTTGAAATGTTATATCAAAAACCCTGTATATATAACAGTTTTTTTCATAAATTTTAATATTTTAAAATTAAAAAATTTCCTACTTTAAATTTTTTCTATATTTTTTCTATGTTCTTTGTTCTTTAAATTAAAATTGGAAAATTGAAACCTTTTTTCAATGACCCCAATTTAGATTTTTTCTTGTTTTTCCTAATTTTTGTGATTCTAGAATAAAATAAAACAAAGTATTTATAAAGATAAATCATGGTTAATATTTAAAATCTTTGTTTGTTTTTATTATAATAGACGTTAAGGTAGCCAGACTCCCAATATTTTTTTTGAAATTTTCATTTTGATTCATTCAAATTGTGTTGTTGTAGCTGTTATTTTTGTTTTTTGTTGCTGTTTGTTATCATTTTCATCAAAAACGAACAGAAAACGCACCCATCAGAAATTTAAATAACACGTTTATCACACAAAAGAGTTGTTGTTAATAAAGTATTATTTGTTTTTCTTTTTTCTATTTCTATTTTGATTTAATAAATAATTTTCTATAGACAAAAAGTAAAATAGAATAAAAAAGTTTTAGTTAAAAAGCGTTTTATGCTCTTTATGTTCGCAACAATTTTAATACGAAAAAAAAAATTTTAGATTGGCTTTTTTTTTTAATGTATTCAAAAACAAACGATCAATTTACATGCAAAATGGAATAAAGTCAACATAATATATTTGATCTCTTTAATATTATAACTTTAATATTAATTTGCATGTATGTATGTATGCTGGTGCGATTCTAATTTTTTCGGCGCCCTACACAGTTTCGAGAAAATGCGCCACCCCTCCCCCTTTTTTAAGCAATGAATAATATGCAAGAAAACTTGCACATTCCGTGTAATAGTCAATATTTTTTTGTAACTTTATCTCACTGAATTCAAGATAAGTCACAGATTTTTCAAAAATTTCAGCTTTTTGTTTTACAATGTTTTTGTCTATGTACATGTTGTCAAGTTAATTTCACTGTAAATAGAAATGAAATAAAAATTTTACCAAAAAATTTAAAACATTTTTTATTCTATAAAATTTAATTTCTTCTCTTTAACTTGACGCCTCTGTTTTGTTTAGCGGCGTGCTTTTAAAATGCTTACTTTACATATATGGTAGATCCGGCACTGTATTTATCGGATACATAGGACATAGTACTATAAGTATATATGAATATATTTTAAATACTAAATGCGAAAAAAAAATATTTCAATTTTTTTATTATGAAAATATTAAAAAAAAATGAAAAGAAGTGTTATACATGCAGCTTTAATTTATGAACTTTTATGAAAAATGTCACTGTGATAAACGGCAAAGAAGAAAAAAAAAATTAAAAAAAAATTTATAAAAACGTTTATAATTTTTTTTATTAAAATTCAAAAATTGCATAAAATTTCCATATGAAATGCGATTTTATATTTAAAAAAATTTACTTTTTATTTATGTTTAAACTTTAAAATTATAGTTTAATGGCTGCACAATAGTGAAATTGATTTATTCGGTATTCGAAATTTTTTTGAATAACAAAGATTTAAAACTGAATGAGCTTCCTATAAATTATTAAAAATTATAAAAGAAATTTTAATAATTTCTTTGTCAATTTAAATAATTATATAGATATAGAAAATATGTGACAGGGTACTCTCGTGGAATTCAAAATTTATATAAATACATAACACTATCTTGCATAAACTAACAAACAAAAAATTATAATAAAAAAGTTGAGGCGCATAATTTTTATTAAATACTGTTATAATCATAGAGGAATGAGTGCATAAATATGAGTATATGAATGCGTAACAATATCGTACATTTTAATTCTACTACTACATAAATGTGAATATTAAATGAACACGAGAGTATAACAGTATTGCCACAATATTATAATTCAATATAATTATTATATTATGTTGATTTAAAAAGTAGAGACGTACCAAGAAGAACATTTTTCTCGACAATGTGTCGTGCTCTTCAGTTCTTTAAATACCCGCATGTCAAGGTACTCAGCATAGTATGATATCTAATTTGTTGAGCCTCTTAAAGCAGCCCCATAATATCCCGGAGGATACTGAAAACGAAATCAGGGCTTTAATGGTAGTCTACGTTAACTATCCGACATGATCAATATTCTCTGTTCCCGATAGCTTCTTTCAAGGTTTAACTGCACACACTTGCCAATGGCTGCAGTACATCCCCATGGACACGAAGAAATTTGTTCTCAATTTGGTTCTTGGCCCGAATATCCCTGTATTCGACAAAACACAGGTCCTTCACCAACAACAAGCTGTTAATTTTATAAACTTGCCGTCCAAGTTTCTTCTATCACTTAGAAGGGAGGTTAAATTTTTCCCGAAGCCTGGGCAGTAAAAGGAGCGGAACCTCACGAGTGAGACCATCCTTATATTTATTTTTCATAATCGCTTTTCAATTTATATGTGACTCAATCTACCAGTTACGATTAAAATAATATATATAGGACTTTTTGACATCATTTTTTGCACTTCGAATCTCTAAGTTTTTTCAACAAGAACATTTTCTTCATATTTTTTTTTTGTTTTACTCAAAACAATAAAATTCATCCTACCATTACATAAATAATTTTAAAAATATTATATAATAATTAAAAATTATTTAACATTACAAAATATTCATTCTTCTCAAAAATAAATTGAGTGATTTAAGAGTGACTAATCCACAAACTCAACTAGTTATTCTCACTCAAAATAAAACAATTTATTCTAAGCAATTTTTCAATTTATTCTCACATTTATTACTCATTATTCTCACAAGTAATTCTCATAATTTTTCAGGACACGCTGTATATAAAATTTTATTTTATTAAAAAAAAAAAACAAAAATTTAATGAAATGAAAATCAGAGATTATGCAATTTTTTTACAAAAAACCTCATAATTTATATTTAAATTTATATATGTATGTATATATATATGAGTATATATATATATACATAAAAGAGAGTATATTATCGGTTTAGAGAGCAGCTTAAATAATTTTTATTATAAATATAATTTATATAACAAAAAATTCAAATTTTACTTTCACTTACCTCATATTTTCTGTTATAATTTTTTTTTGTTTTTGGTGTTTTTGGTGTTTTTAAGTTGCCTTTTATTCCAGGATTAAGTTTTATACAAAAAAAAAAAACAAAAGCGATTTTTGTTATACTTTTTTGTTTTGTTATTAAAATTTCTTTCTTTCTTTGTTTGTTGTGTTTATTAAAATAAAAAAAGAAATAATAATTTTTTTGCAAAGAAAAAAAAAAGGAGAACAAAAAAAATTTTACTACATGTAAAAAAAATTTCACTTATTCTTTTTTTTTTGTTGTTTTTGTTTTATCAACTGAGATTATTTATAAAAATTTGTTGTTGGTATTTTAATTTTTTAATTCTTGTTATACGGTTTAAATTTTATTTATATTTTTTCTCTTTTTTGTGTTAATCAGACTTATAAATTTATTTTATTGTTATATATTTTAAATATATTTGCCATATTTTATAAAATATTATTAAATATTATACAATTTTAATTATTTTATTTTGTTTTTCGCGTTAAAGGGAATTTCCGTTTTCAAAAATTAAAAAAAAAATTGATTATTTTGTATTTATTTGGTTGATTTTTATTTATTCTTATATTATTTTGTTGTATAATAGTTTTAATCGGTATACAATTTACGCTTTTTGTATAACTATTTTATACGATTTATTTGAGTGACGTTTTTATTATACTATATATGTAATTGCGAAAAACAAATGTTATTTTATGTAAAATGTAGTTTTCATTTAAGTTGATTTCCTTGTTTTTGTTTTGTTTTTGAACGATGTTTTGTTTAATTGGATGTTTTGGCTTCAGTCTACGTTAATTTCTGAAATTGAAAAAAAAAAATTTTATAAATTAATTAAAAAAATTAAAATAAATTAAAAAAATTTTGAAACTATTAATATATTTATTAGTAAAAATATTGATAAGGTAATGAAACATTTTCTAACATGGCAACATTGTTTTTTAATTCACTTGAAATTTGAGAATAAAAATGAACGGGAAATTTCATTTTAAAGAGTAATTAGTGATCTAAATTTTTAATTTTATTGAGCGAATAGTTTAAAAAATTTAACTCAAAAATAATAATAATAAATCGAAACGAGCTTTATTAGATAAATTTTTGCAATTAATCAAAAATAAGATCAAGATCAACTCACAATCAAAGATTAATATGAGGAAACAAACTACAATAAAATTCTTTATTTCAGCAACACTCTGAACTACAAGAAAAACAAAAATTTCTTTCACTCAATTCTCGCACTTCTCATAATTTATTTTCTTCCTAATTTGTTGATTTTTTTTTTGTTTTCGTAAAGTAAAGTGATAAAAAATTCCTATTCAATTTGTTGACATAATTTTTTTCAAAAAAAAAAAAATCATCCTCTTTTCTCCCATCTTCTATTTTCTCTTGATCCAAAATTGATCTAATTTAACTCTTAATTTATTGCTACCACAACATAACGTGTATATTATTCAATTACGTATAATATTCAATTTAAATTTAATTTATAATTCAATAGGAGTACGTCTCTTGAAACATTATATATATATATATATATATTAAATATATATAAACATATATATACATATATATATATATATATATATATATATATATATATGTGTATATATATATGTATACATATATACATATATATATATATATATATACATGTATGCATGTATATATATATATATATATATATATACATATCTCTTTATCTCTTTTATATTTTAATATTTAGATATTTGATTAGGGAACTTTGATATATTTAAGATAATGGGGTAATAAGAAGTTCTTATTACATTATTGTACAAGGTACTAAAAATTGTCAATATATAGAAGATTTTTGAAAAAAAAAATACATTCTTATTATTCTTATTGCTTGTAATCAGACATTCACATGCTTATGATATTAAAAAAAAAAATAAATAAAGAAAAAATAAATAAGGTCTTGTTCAAAGAAGATTGAAAATTATTAAAATTCAAGAAATGCTTGACTTAATATATATATACATAATATATATACTTATTAAAGAAACAAATATATGCTTATATACTCGTATATGCAGAAAATTTCAAAAATATATTGGCAATACAGTTAAATACTTCTCTATATGTATTAAAAAAAAAGGAAAAATAATAATAATAAATGTCTTTTGTCCCACATTTATTTTCCCATCCTTGAATTTATATTAAATTATTATATATATGTATATACTCGTATATAGAAATTTATAAATATGTGAATAAGTTTGTATAGCAAAAATGGAATATTATGAGGTCCTGGATTTTTATTTTTGTATATTTGAAAATTTTATATAAAAATTTTTTATTTTTTTACAGTTTGATTCAAAATAAGATAGAGAGATTATTTACGAAGCAGAAAATATAGAAAATGTAAAGACATTAATAATATTGCTTTCATTTCTTTATATTTGAAAAAAAAAACACATACAACACATATATCATGAAATTTAATCAAATTATCAATAATTAATTAATTGAATATCATTAGAAAAATGCAAATATTTTAATAACATCCCAAAAATTTTATTAAAAAACAAACGCAACAATTAATTTTGTAATAAATAAAAATGAATAAAATTAATTATGATGACAACTAGCATAATTTCCCGAATATTTCCCAAAATTCACTCAATATAATATAAAACGTTAACAGTTATTGAGAAAATTACAGAGAATTGTATTGTTGACTATTGCTGTATTGAGACTTGTAAACAACAGCAACTGTTTACTCATTTATTCGCTTTTTAAAATGAGTATTATGGAATGAAAATAAATAAAGAGAAATGAATTTGCGTCTGGATATTTAAAATTTTTGCTTGTTATTCGAAGGGACGGGGTATTATTAGGGGGCAATAATGTTCTCAATTATACAAGAGCCAATAATCATAATTTATAAATACTATCCTCTATTTCAATAATCAATAATTCAGCTCATTATGAGTATTCTCGTACTTAATAATTTTGTTATATAAATTTAATTTACATGTAGTTTATTTTCAAGTTGTACTTCCGGAAAATAAAATTTTATATTTTATAACTTTGACATTTTTCGATTATTTTTTGTTTTTGATGAAATTTTGGTTGAATTCTTTAAAAACTTCTTGTATAACAATTGAAATTTTTAGGGAGAGCTTTTATATTATTTTATTTTCTTTTTTTTTTGCTTTTTCTCTCTCTTCTTGATTATTTTCATTTAATTCTACTTTTATTTTTCGAAACTCTTTAAAGTATTTTTCTAGACGTGCTTAAATTTCGTTACGATAAATTTTTGTATTTGTGATTTTTTTCTTTTCTTATTATGATTTTTATCGTAATTGTTTCTCTTTTCCTCTTACCATTCTTTTTTTGATTTTAAATATTAGATTTGCCTTTCACAAACATATATATATATGGGTGAAAATTTAAAAGTTAGCACATTTGCGTCACAAAAAAGTAAGCTTAAATAAATACTTTTTTAGAAAATAAATCAAATTTTAATTAATAAAATAAAAATTATAAAATCTTTAATTTTAAATAAAAAAAATTTTTAGATTGCAAAAGTAAGTATTTTTGGAAAATTTTGGAAAATTGTCGGAGCGCGTTTTCTGTTTTCATATAAATGAAACTTGTCACAGACCACATTTTTAATTTTCAATTTAAATTTTCATGAACTTCCCCCACAGAAGGATATATTTTAAATTACATTGCAAAATTATTTCATTATTTTTAAATAAAAATCAAAAATTAGTTTTTAAGTTTTAATTTATTTTAATGTAATTTTAACAGAAAAAAAGTGTGTCACTAGAATTGTTCAACTGCGTTACTTCAACTATGTTACATCATAAAATTTTTTAAAATTAATCATTTTTTTAAATATTTTGGCATCATTATTTGTTTTAAAGAATACGCAATAAGTCTGTTCGGGCTGGTGGTGAATGTTGTTCCAAACACATCGCTGGAGATAGTTTGAATTTTTTTTGCCGTGAATGTAAAACGCTTTTTTCAACTGTGTTACGTGGTTTTTGTTTAAATATTTTTTTTAAAAATTCAAAAAAGTGGCATATTATTAAGCAAACCAAGTAAACTAACCAACTGTATACTTTAAAATGCAAAAATATGTTGTAGTTTTATGTTAATATACTTTTTATTTTAAAATATTCTACTGCGTTACTGTTCAACTGTGTTACTAAATTTAAGTAACACTACTGAAGACATGGTAAGAAAGTTGATTTTTAAGGCAGTTTACTCTAAGTTGGTGAATAAATTCTTAATAATTTTACATACAAATAGGCGATAACATATTTTATTGATTATTATACAAAATGCCACTATCTATTTATATTTTAAATATGTATATTGTTAAAAATGCAAATGAAAAACTTAACCGAATATATACAACTTCATCGAGAGGAAAAAAGTTAATATCTTAGCATATTAAACAACAGCATGAAATTTACTGTTTTTGTTTTAATTTTTTTTGTTAATATACTGAAGACTGAATCAAGTTTTTCAACAGTGTTACTATATTTTCCACTGCGTTACTGTTTTGTCACAAAAAAAATCAAAAAAAAAATATTGTTTTAAACTTTTTTCTTCAAATTTAAGCTCTTAATTTTTTTGTTATGGACATTTTTAGAATAAAAAATTAATTTCTAAAGCAGTTATGTAAAAATTCCTGCAAGAAAAAAACTATTAAATAGTTTTATTTTAAAAATAAAAACTTTAAATTTAAAATTAGTAACACAGTTGAAATAACTTATAATTTATTTTTTTATAAAAATGATTTTTCAATATTACAGAATAAATTTATTTATAACTTTAATTACAAATGAGAGTAAAATATGAAAATAATAATTTCCATTGAAGAGATCGAAAAATTTAAGATATTTTTATCGGTAACGTAGTTGAACTAAATTTAAACCTGAGCTTACTTTTTTGGTTATAATTTCTAAAATATTTACAAAACCTCCGGACCACTTGAGGAGATTGTACATTATATATTAGGCAACTATAAAAAAATTATTTTAATAAAAAATTCTAAAAAAATAATTTGGAAAAAAAAAAATTCATTTGTGCAAACTTTTAAATTTTGACCCATATACATTCATGTTTGTATTTTTGTATAATATTATTTCTTAGGGATGGAGGAGTTGCAGATGATATTAATTTTTAGGTCACAATCTTGCCACCATAGCTATATACTTAAATATTAAAATAAGGAAATAAACAAAATATCTACTCATATACACATTGTAGTTTCGGAAGTAGAAAAGAGATGGAATTTGCTAGAGAAATTTTGAAACTTATTTTTTGCTCTTGTTCTTTCTTCTTACCGAAAACATAAATATTGTACTTGTACATATAGTAAGGAAAAGAAGAAGTGAAGAGAGAAGTGAAAAGAGCCAATAATAAAATTTAATTGAATTTTTTTAAAAAGTTTGAACAAGTTAATTTTTCTATCTTTTTCTTTCTTCCTTTCTTTACTTAAATAGTTTCTCTACAATGTTTTTGTTTTTAAAATATTTTTATTAAGTTGTATACTAGGAATTTTATAAGAGTAGCCGAGAATAATTGCTATGTGATATTTTATTTAAAATTATTAGAAAAAAAAGTAAGAAAAGACACAAGTGGTTAAGAAAAAAAAATCCGAAATTTCATTAATATTAAGAAGGAAACAAGTGGTAATGAAATTCTTAAAGTACATTAATATACGGGGTACGTACTTACCAGTAATGACTAGGAATTTTAGTAATTTAAGTTATTTTTCAAAACATGACAGTATACAAAAATAATTTAGTTAAAAATGAAAAAAT